GTCTTCTAACCAAATCCCTCTTTATGCCTCTGTGTTGACGGAAATCCATGCCGAGTGAGCTTGTCTCATTAACGTGACCCTTCAGATACAACAACCGTGGACAACTGTGTCTGAGTACAGACTCTTTTGACAACCCTTCCTTAACGAGATAATTTGTCATTTTATTTTAATTGTTTACGTGAAGACGACAATACTGGAAATGTGACATTTGAAGCTCTTGGAAATAATTTCAGTCCTTTGTATTTTGTCATTTCAATCAAAATCTGCTTTCTTTCTTTTCTCATAGGGCATACAAATATAAATCTTTTAGCCTAGTGCTTTGGGAAATATTTCAGAATTAGAATAAACAGAGTGTGAAGTCAGCGTGTGTTAGTCACATAGCTTCCTCTACAGAGGTGACCTCCAGTTGTACCACTTGCTACATATAAGACGACTACACCTGGAATCTAGAATGTTCTCCAAGGCTCATGGGTTGAAAGCTCAGCTCTCAACGAGGTACTGTTTGCAGGTGTGGTAGAGATGGGGCAAGGACATGAACTTGAAGGGGATTGTGAGATGGTAGTCTTGCCCTCCTCTCTTCTCCATCCCAACCATGACACCTCACCATGGTGTACTGCCTTGTCCCAGACACAAAAGCAATGACTGTGGGCTAAAATGTTCAAAACTTTGAGTCAGAATAAAACTTTTTTTCTTTATACGTCGATTGTCTCAGGCATTTGTTATAGCGACGAAAGGTGACCGACACAAGGACCTACTGCCAATCATTTCTCTACCTCCTTATATGACTTGGTGAACAAAATGATTTCATACATGCTTGTGATTTTTCAAAATAACTTTTGCTGAGAAACACATTCTTGAAATCATCGCTTATTCAGTATCTAATTATATAAAGCACTATCCTCAGGTTACTTGGAGAAGCCCCTAATAAATAGAGCTTGACACTTTTAATGTATGATACATAGCCTTGGAACAATGTGAAAATCATTGTTTTCTCGGCGAGCACCAAGGAGGGAATATTTGTTAGTTTACATTCCTTTTTAATACATGCTTCCCACATTATTGGCTAATATCAACTTGTGTAGAGGGCAGAGGTTTTGAAATTCACTACTAAATAGATGTCTAATGACAGAACTTGAAGTTGAATGCCACCCCACAGACAGGAGCAATGTGCGGAGCTGGGGGACAATAAAACTGGACACATTAGTTGTAGGCAGCATATCAGTTTAGATTTTATACAAAGAATCATATCAAATAAATGTGACAGATGCCAAGTGATGAAGAAGTTAAACATGGGTCTTCATTGCGCTTCTCAAAATGTGATCTGTGCTGATGTGCGTGGTGATTCTCGGGTAAGGGATGGTATTTCCCCAAATTATCCTACAAGCCACTGAACTTTTGGAAAGATAGAAAGGTGTTCTATGCATCATTTTATTTTCAATATCTCCCATAGTAGTTGACACACAATTGATAGTAAATTGATTAAATTAACATAATCCCTGGGATTTCCTTTCCTATCTGGCTAGCATTTTGCTTTGGGGTTCACAACCTTTACTCTTCGGCACTATTTCTGTAATATGTATATATTTTAAATAAGGTCAACAACCTAGTAAGCACAAACCACATATACAGAACCTCTGAATCTGTAGTCAGTTGATCTGCTGAATAGTTTCATCAAAACTTTCCCAACATTCTGACATCTAGAGAAAATTTCTTGCTCACATGGGAAAGTTGTATCCAATACGAGAAGACAAACACATTTTGATGACTCAGAGTTTCAGTGTGTGTTTATTACCTCTTTTTGCTTTCTTTTCATACCACGCTTAATAGACACTTGTCTACTTTTAAGAGATTTTATTCCCGGAGGGTCACTATGCAGAAGGTAGCTTTCAAATATGAATCCAAATTAATTAGGAAGTTTTGCCACCTGTGGGCCTCATAGTTGAACATAGACATAAGGAAGTCCTCTTCACCATTATCAAGTATGCACGTACAAACATGATTCTAAATGGTGCATTTGTCATGTCTGATTTAATACCCCCAACATCTCATAGAAGGATAGTTTTATCTCTACTTTCTTAATGAAAAGAAACTTGCAGACTCCAAACACTCAGAAATGTTTCTAAGGACACAGAAATTTATAGAGTCGAGGTGCCAACTCAGTTTTATATGGACTCCCAATCACATACTCCTAAATAATAAATAACGAAAAATTTAAATAGAAAAATCAAAGTCCATCTCTTCCCTCCTGGCTTGAGCATCTTCTCTGAGATATGAAAGGAAAGCAGAAAATATCTTCTCTATTAAAACCCGTCATCTCTTCATAAATTTGTACACTCTTCCGAGTTTCAGTCTGGGAAACAACAACAAGAAGACACACAAAAATCTATGATTCAATGGGGCTCCCATTTGGATGGGATGGGGAGGCAGGTCATCAGTGAAGTCCAGACATTAATTCTATCCTAGGTGACAATGTTGTAAGTACTCTATGGGAATATAACTCAGAGAAGGTAGGTTAGTTTGGGGTGGATAGGGTGACTTTTAAATTAAACATTCCGATAAAGATTTATTAAAACCTATTTGAACCAATCCAAGAAAAAAAAATGGTGGAAGGAGGTGGTTAGATATGTCAAAGGGTGGGATGTGTGTTGAACCCATATCAGTGGGAGAAAGAGAACGAGGAAGAGAGATTCAGAGAGTAAACGGATTGGAAGGAAGC